AATGAGGCTGAATGTGAGCCAAGCTGTCAAACAGGGAGCCAAACACCCCAAGCGTCAATTTAATTGATACCCGGTATTGAACACAATGAAGAGAGTATGTTGGATGATTGAGGATTGTACGCTTCTGGTTAAAGGCACCTACATGTAAATTTGTCTTACTTTCTGACAAAAAAATCTGATTGCGTTTACACCAGCAACCTATCTCTCTCACAGAAATAAAGAAATCTCTCTCTCTGTCTCACTTCCGTCAAAAGGACCGCTGTAACTAAACACAATCCTATAGTGAAACCTTGCTTTACTTTAATCAACCACTGCAGGCAATGAAGGGTGTTCGCTTTCATTCTGATGCTTCCTTTCACTGGCTGTCTTCCATCTACCACACACACCAGATATCCTGTTAAATGGGTTTGAGAAAGCACTCTTAATTAACCAATCACAGTCTTCAGAGAAACATTCTCACTGCAACAGATAAAGTGATGGGTTTTTATGTCTAAGAGCAAACGATGACACTGGAACATCTTATTGAAAGATCAAAGGCGTCTAGCAGCATAATGTGGAAGCTGCTTTATGCCTGAGTTGTTGAGAGACAGCACAAAGCTCAAGGTGAGCATATCCTCCTGCTGAATAACTGTCAGATGAAACTCACCAATTAAAAATGAGAAGCATAAAAAAGTCTGGGAAAAAGTGTCCATCTTTAACTGAAAAAGTCAGGTCTGTGCTGCTGGTCTTCACCAGATGGGAGAGCTTTGTTCAGCTTGTAGGGAATGCCCACAAAAGATTTCCGATCGTCCCATTTAATCCCTACAAATCTCTTTGATAAAGGATTCTTACACAAAGAAACTAGAGCCTCATTAATGCTGCTTTCTACAAAGATCGTCAAGGGAGCAGATGTGTAAGTTTGCTGTGGACTATTTTAATTTGATATTTAAATGCTGTGAGATATTACAAATCCATATGATGACACGTATACCATGAGAACATATGTCAACCACTGGAGATTCTCTATACTATTGCTTCCCAAACCTTTTCTGTCATGCCCACCTACGGAGGTGGGAAAAAAAGTAAGCACCATCCCCATCTCAACTCAAACATTTTTTTTTGTAACAAGAGGAGAACTTTAGTAAATTCACATTTTCATTTTCATGCATGTTTTTAAGGAGTTTAAAGGACACAAGGCTTTTCTGCTTTACTGACAGTGAAGAGAAGGCAGCCTCTATGATGTTTCACATTCGACTGATTGTAATCAATAGCATCACCTAAAAAACTTTGGTCATCATTTTATAATCTTGCTAACGTGAATCTTGACAACCTTGCAACAATAGTAATCTACTATTTCTTACAAATTAATTGGATTCATTCAAGTTTAGTCCTACTCCATATTTTTCCCTGCATGCACCCCTTTGGGTCCTCCAGGGGGATTCGCCCCCTGATTTATACAGCGGTATCTATCCTGTTGATATCGCTGGGTACTTTAGGCCATTGGGGACAATGTAACAAATTGATGGGCAAGAATGTTTGAAAGAAACATTTTATTTTAATGTGATATTTTGCATCGTCATTGTCATCATCATCATCATCATCATCATCATCATCATCATCATCATTGTTATCATCATGCAATGTAAAGGTTCTCCTGCTTCTCAACCAAGTAACTCGGAAACCATTTATCAATCTCGTCATAAAGCTAATCAAAAGGGTATCTGTAGAACTTTTCATAGCATATAATCAATACTAATAATTCATAAAACAGCTAATCAGCAGCAATAAATGAATCATTTTTGTTTTTGTTAGAACTTAGTAAAACAAAGTGTCATTAACTATCTTTATGATCTTCATCCACAGTCTGCTGGACAGCATGAGGTGAAAAAAAAAAAACACTTTACAGACCAGTTTGTATTGAGGAGAGAAAGATTGAGTGCCCTATATAGTTTGACCAATAATACCGCAGACCTGGGTCTATACATCTGCACAGTCACCATGAAATTGAAAATGCAATCAGCCCAGGGAGACAGCTTCGCTCTGAGCTGCCAACCCTTAAAAGTCATCTGGGAGACTTCACCGTCTTTGATCCAGACTCAGCCTCCTAACCTGTCTGTAAGCTGCTGCCTCGTCTACTTTAAGTCAATCTTAAGAGTATATAGCGAACACACTTTGGATCCAGTAATTGCCTCAATAGAAACTTGAAATGGTAATTTCCTTACCTCAATGTGCATTTGCAACCAAGCATGTGAAGTCTAAGCTATCACCAGTGACAACAAAGTACAGAACAACGCTAACATAAAATAATGGAGTATTCATACAGCCACTTACCCCAGACTCCTAATGGTATTAAATCCACTTAGATCCACTTAACATAGTTTTCAAAAAGCAACCTCTATGACCACACTGAACATGAGCTGAAATGAATTAGCCAACATTGTTTGGAAACAGGCAAGATACATGAGTAAAAGAAAATACATGCTGGCACTCTGCAGACTGTTTAATAGACTATAGACAACAAATCTTACCTTTATTAGCCCCATCTCACTCGTGTCACACTGTGAGGTGAGTCTAATAAAGCTATTTGAAATGGTGCAATGAATGCCTTGAGGCAAGCAGTGAATCAGGTAATTCTTCTGCCCCACTCTCATGTTTTCGAAAATGTGGGAAAGCAAAATGAGGAAAAGACTGTAAGGCTGATAATGGCCAGGAAAAATAGGGCAACATGAAACATTTCTTTCACAATCGTCAACTTTTGTCTGGGGGCAGCCTAAAATCATGCACTGCCAAGGGCCCTTAAGTGAGGCTCATGCTTGAATTGTATCTCATCCCACTCCTTAAGAGCAAAATAAGCTGTCATGGTTGGTTATAACCACTCTTTAGATTGTTCTTTGGTGATCCGAGCAACATGTTTTATTTATTAATGCCTAAATAATTCAGACTCTCATCATTTATCCATAAATCAGAGAATTCAGTGAAATGTTTGACTGGAGAAAAAGTTACTTTTTGTAAAGGTTTGTTATTTAACTGTATTAGTTTGCCTTGACGCTGTTGTGAGCCTAGTTGTTACAACTTACAGATTTTTACTGATTACTGGAATTAGTGTTTTGTAATGAACTACTGTAGTTCTATCATACAGTATTTCATACCTTGAGAATTCCCATGAATGCATTTTGCAACTGTTTCCTTGCAGCAGCTATATAATCCATCATAAATCCTGAATGCAACTAATCTGATAAAGTCCAGAGAACCCTGGTTATCCTTCAAATCAAACTGTGCACACGTAGCCTTTCTAGCAAACTTGAGGCTTAAAGAGGCAATTAGTGGAGACTGAAAGATAAAAATGACAACAGGCTAAAATGTTTTTTTGTTGTTAGTCTGTTTTGTGGTGCTTTCCTGAGACTCATGACTGACTCAGTTTGAGTTTGACAAGTTGATGCTGAACTTTGACAGCAGTACTCAATGTGCCTGAAGCACTCTGCATCCCACTTCTAATCTCATTCTTCTCCTACTTAGATGGTAGGAGGGGAAATCTAATCAGTCAGATGTTGCCAACACATCTTGGGCATTAGATGTGACTAGAATGGTGCTTTTTTAGAACGAAGACACAGTCAGGCAACATTTAACACATTTGTGTGTGTGTGTGTGTGTGTGTGTGTGTGTGTGTGTGTGTGTGTGTGTGTGTGTGTGTGTGTGTGTGTGTGTGTGTGTGTGTGTGTGTGTGTGTGTGTGTGTGTGTGTGTGTGTCTGGAGGATGTTTTGGTGTGGAAAAAATCCTCATCTGTTAAGAGTCTGCTGCAGGCTTGTCTGAAAAATAGCTTGTCTGTGTATGTGGTCTGCTGTCTGCAGAAACACACTTATAGTGTGTATGTGTGTGTGTGTGTGTGTGTGTGTGTGTGTGTGTGTGTGTGTGTGTGTGTGTGCGTGTATGTTTAATGTGGCTGTGTGCACTGTATGTGTGTGTTTGTGTATAGGTCTGCAGAAAGGGGACAGGCTGATTCAACATCCTAGTTGGTTATGCAGACAGGCTTAGAAAGCAGCTCTCTGGACGTGGCACTGTTCCCCTCCAACATCAAATATTCAACACACACGTTTTCCATTCCTTTCGACAGCGCTAAATCTCTACACCTATAAGCTCTCTGAAGAATGCTGATACTGTTTACCTGCAAGCGGTCTCCTAAGGACCTTACAACTCCCTTGTAATAGAAAACAAAAGTGACTGATGATCACAAACACACAAAAGAAAGGCACAGTTTAAATCTCCCGCAATGTAGAAACTTACATTATTTGTCTTATTCAAACAAAGGTTTGAAGCACAGTTTAAATGTGACACAACATGGTATACCATGGTAACTTTCTAATAAGCGCACAATTAGCTGTGCAACAAACATATATTGTGTCTATAAATAGAATAGACAGAAAAATTACAATTATAATTTCCCAAAGCTAAAGTTGATAAATTTGGCCCAACCATCAGCCCAAAACCAAATTAAATTCACAATGATATCAAACAGAGATCCTTACACTGGATAAATAAAGCCCTGGTTTCCATCACTCACATATTGCATATAGTCTACTTCCTCTTCTAATACCAATCCAGCCTCAAGAATCCGAACACACAAACCTGTCAGATGTTATCATATTTTAGTGCCAACATGCTAATTAAACACCCAAAGTCAAACCTTCTCGTACCAACATACTCATTTAAACTTTAATGTAAACCAGTGGTCAGTGTGAAAGAACATGTGTCAATGGATGCATCAAATAAGTAGTTTAGTTGAGAAAAATGCATGAATGTGACATTTTGTATATGACAAAATATTATAACACACCAATATGTTTTGTCTCCAGCAACCTATCAGCACTATCAGCCGAAAAGTGTTGGCCTTTTTAGTCGTTCCAGTTCCACTAACCTTATTTAACTGAATGGGCCCAACATTTTAGCTCCCTGCCTTTTGTCTCAGTATTTCAGCTTCCTTCCATCTGTTTCTCAGACCCTGGATCCAGTATTCAGAACTCACATGTTCCAGTTTTTCCCTCCTGCGAAGCCAGACGCTTGCTGAGTAGTCCTGCTGCCGCACTGCCGTTATTATGGAATTGGCTGCCATCCCGGTGGCTGAGATGCTGTACCTTAACCCCTGACCCCTATGGTCTTGGCCACCCATTGGCCCGGCGCGGATCCCTCGTAGCTCCATGTAGACTAGATGGTTGGGTGATGGTCCAGCTCAATGGTCTCTCAGTCTTTGTCAAATAATCAATTAACTTGTTGATCTCCTGTTAATATCTGAAGAAAACGCTTCCTTTTTGGGACGCATTGTGTACATTTAGCTTGCCTGCACCTCTTACTTCCTTTGCACATAGTGAAATGAATACACTTGTGTAACTGTGATGTTGAAAATATGGAAAAGATATCACAAAGCTGTCAGTGTTAGCCTTGTCCTCCTTTACCAAAACTTGACTTAAACAAATAAGATCTTTTGAGTTTGAAGCTTTACGTTCCTGAAATGCATCACCAGAAAGCTTTTATAGTTATCATACCCCTGTGTTCATAAAGTCTGTCTTCACCACTGCTGGCTAATGTCCACAGGCTATAGAAAATCCTCTTCCAATGTGTCTCCAGAAAAGCAGGGCTTTACCTTTTCATGATGAGATCCTGAGTATGTGCTGAGCAAGGCTGGACTGGGTTTAGCTATGCACAGACCTGTTAGGCTCGGCTCTGAGCAGACCAGGGACTCCGACAACTCTGATCAGGGCTTCCACCGATTCAGGCATCCCCAGTACAGGAGCGTATGTGTGAAGAAGAGGAGGAGAGAGGAGATGGGAGGGGTAGAGAAACACAGAGAAAGAGGTAGAAAGAGAGAGAGAGAGAGAGAGAGTTGTGGCGATGCTGATGCAGCGTCACAAAGGAAGGCAATACCCCCGAGTAAAACAGACACCGGTGGATCCAGCGGAGTAAATGGACACACCCATACCTATATCTCTACCAAACTCTTGTTTTCTCAATCCCATTCCTCCCTGCAGCCCCTCAACAACAGATACTTTCACTTCTTTCAGGACATCCTTCCCTCACTATAACACTCTTTTCCTCCCTCTATATGTTGCCAACTCCCTCCCCATTTCACAGGCTTTTGCTGCATACATGTAGTCATATTCTCTCTTTCTTCCCACCACTCCCAGCTGAAAATGAACAGTCTTTTTTCCTTCATTCAGCTGCGTTGCTCTCTCCTTTGGCCCTGTGGACACGGTATTATCCCTGGCTACACATATGCATCTGTGACTACACACATACACACACACACACAGACAGACCTTGGCACATCACAGCAGAGTGCTGCAGTGACGCTGCAGTACCTCTCTTCCCTTACCTTGGCTTTCCAGAGAAGCAACAGAGCTTAAAAACTTTAATTGGCTTGTAACTGGCATCTAGGAAAACCCATACATGCTGTACACACACACACACACACACACACACACACACACACACACACACACACACCATATAAATGTTGAAATCATTAGTGGCAAACAGCCAGTGCACCTTAACTCTTTGAAATGGAAACAATCCATTTTAATTGCATGCCTTGGCTCTCAGCTACTGCTGTAGAGATGCTTCCAGTCAGCAATAGAATACCAACGCAAAGATATTCTGCTTATTATATGAAAAAAAAGAAATTGGTGAGTATAAAAGGAAATATAGAGCCATGAGGGTGGTGTCAAAATGTCAGACAGAATTCATCAGTCAACATTCTTACTATCTGCTTGTATGGTGGAAAAAGTGCATTCATACTTTTTCTTGAAAAAAAAAAGAACAACTTGTCATTATTTGCCATCCAGAAACTCTTAAATATCAGACATATGTACAGCATTTATTTATTATATTCAATAATTCTCTTTAGTTTTCAATTATTTGATCATCAGTGTAACAATCAGTAAATATTAGACTGTATTAAAAGGATTAGCAATCTATTTGGATAGAAAATATACTATATACTAAATACTTGCCATATCTTAGTGCAAAGTCAATTGGACACTAAGAGTGAAAGATTTGTAGCCTTTTCACTGGATCACTAAAGGATGCTACAGCAGAGAGCCCGAACTTCCCGAACTAATGATCCTTACAGTGCATGAATTTTCCAACAGTTCATAAAATTTTACCTTTTCTTCTATTATCTTGAGGGTCTGGAAAAAGAGACAAAGAATCCACATTTCAATTTATGTACTGCTCCTTCTCATTTTCTCAAATGGAACATCATGGTTTTTATTCCAGCTCAACAATGCTGAGTCATACACATCTGTGAGGAAGCTCACTTCTCAAACAATCTAGGTCCTTCTACAAGTCCTGTTGTATGCCAGTCACATTCTCTGCTAGCAGTAAACTGTATCAGTGGAAACGCTCTCTGAATACTGAACACTGAGGTTAATGAGGGGACTTAACTGAACACCAGCCAACTGAACCCACAAAACACTGAGCCACGTTAAAAGGCTTTCGGGTTTTAAGCCATAAAGAAATACATCACATTTTCTGGCATCCCTCAAAAGGTGGTGGCTTGATGAAAAGCTTTCCTTACACTGTAGTGAATCAGAGTGATCACTGAACTAAATCTTTCCACAAATGACCATTAACGGGTACACCAGCAGTAAGACAATACAGCACACTACAAAAAGACAACACGTTCAACAATCAACAAAGCAAGTGTAGTGTAGGGCAACACAATAAGCACAATAATTCACACACAGGGATCATCTTATCTATAACAAACACAGCGCCCGACACAATGCAGCGCAGCCAAACTCAGCAGAGCGGAGCATTGTACAGATCCATCAGCACACTGATGCAGGGTACAGGTTATGAAACATAACTCAATGCTTCTGACACAAGAGACAGCAGGGAGACGTTTGTTTACACACTCTGTGATAAAAACAATCAATAATATTTCCCTACTGAGGTTTAAGTTGCTTTTCACAGTTTGACTCCTTTCCTCTAAGAACAAGCTTCAAGCTCACAGCCCATTTTATCACAGAATCAGAAATACTTTAATAATCCCAGGGGGAAATTATTTATTCATTTATATAGGCTGATAAATATAACAGCTTATAATATATAATATAACACTCCAGGTAAGTAACTATATTTCTGTGTATATTATCACAAAGGGAAGAAAGACGAGCTGAGGTGAAGCAGTTTAGATGCTTTTAATATTTTATCATAGTTATATTAATAAACTGGGAAGCAACCTGCACATTTAGCCTCCAATATGAAGAACATATCAGCTGGAAATTATCAATCAACATACCTTCAGTACAGTTTTTGTTAATACAGTCTAACGGGTTGCTTATTAAAACCTCTTGCTTCTTCCATTTTTGGTCAATTCTGAGTTGAACTCATTTGTCCAGTGACACCTGCTTTTACTGCTTTAATGCCCATAAAATAAATCATATTTCAGAGACAGTGAGATGTACCTAGAGCAATGATTATGAAGTACATTTTGAGTTATTCCTCAAAGCTTACTGCAAAACAGACTAACTGCCTTTTATATCCTGAAACTGGGGTGCACAGGGCTTTCGTTTCCTATTCTTTGAATTAAAATATCTATCTGTACAAACAATATTTGCAATTACTGTTTGGAGTATTGATATCCATCTCTTTTATTATAAAAGAGTAAAACTTAAGCTAGGCTTGTTGAATAAAAGAACAAGCTTTAGTCCTTGTAGTTATTTACAGTTTTGCTGTTCTCTGAATATAAACAATTTTATGTTCATTTCACAGCTTATTTCAAGCACCGACAAATTGTTATCTTTTTCTCAACTCAGTACAAACATAAATCCTTTGTCTGCCAGTTTGCAGTTTATGGTAAATGAATACTCATTCCCCAAAGCACATCACTGTGATTATGGCACCATAAGCTTCAATGACCTTTCCTTTACAGTGGCATCCAAAGATTAGTCAGCCAAATATGCCTCAGCCAAAATCAATAACCCCCCTTAACCATCAACAGCTTTGAAGATCAGAGACACCTTACCTCCATTGCTCCCTACAGCTCCTAAACGCCTGCTTTCCAGGAGAGTGTGTAAGCAGTTTCATGTCACGCAAAAGGAAATGCAAAAAACTGTTGAACAGACCGTTACACAATTCACAATACTTGGTCCATATCTTGGTCCTGTGGTAGCCCTGAATAAGGAAAGGTTAATGGACTACCTGTCCTACCGAGGATTAAACGTTTTCAGGCCCTCTAGAGTAACAAAGTGCTGCAGAGGAAACCTTGAAGTTCATTTATGTGCTGGCAAGATTAATCTTTTAAAATTAGTCTGAAGTTTAGAGACCTTTATTGTTTTCTGTTGCTGTTTCTGTCTCTCTTTCCTACAATTTCTATCAGATGGCAATCACTCTCTTGTTCTCTGCCTCCTGTGACTCCATGTGCTGCCATTCGCTCTCACTTTCACAGTCTCTCTGTGACTCACACGTGTGACCCGTCCTCCATCCTCTCAAAAGTGACCTGTTAATTTTAACTTGAAAGGCACATAATGTGTTAAATGCCACTCAGTCCGTGGCTTCACTAAAATTGTGCGATCATATTTCCAGGGGAGAAAATGCTCCTCTTAATATTCTTTAATCCTTACAGTCTTTCCTCCTTATTCCGGCTGAGATTTGTTTCAACAAACAAGGGCATGTAGTGATCACCGTCACAAAATAGTGTCAATTTAACAACTCTGAGTATCTCATTGGCTCTGTGACAATATATCCTTCCGTCTCCCACATTATTCACTCAAATTCTCTCTCTCTCTCTCTATTTCCCCTCATCAGCTGTGCTCTCTTGTGCATACTCCCTAGTGAGAGTAAGTAAGTGAAAAACTGCAGTCTGTACAGAAGAAGGTTTGTATAAACTACACTGTAGGTTTGATGTTAGGAAATAAAAGCTTCTGAGCTACATTGAACACTATTATTTTGATGCAGCATATGGCCTTTTCAATAATAGAAGGATAAAAAGCTTTATCCAAGACATTTTGCAATATGTTGGGAATCCATGTGGGGGTGGGTGGAAATACTAAGCTGCAAAATCTGCTTTGCAAAACATTTCTGCCTGTTTAGTAACTCATGTTCTATGTCTGCTATCTCTAAATTGTAAGTATAAGAAACTAATGAGGCCATTGTGAATGTGTGAGCCGTCTGCTGGTTTTTGGTTGTGGGAAGATGTTTGAAGGCGTATCCAATTATCATAACCTTGAAACAGCATTAACACACACAATATAACATAATAGTCCAGATAAATATGCGTGCGTTCGTTCTTTCTTTCTTTATCTTTATTCTGCCCTAAGTAACATTACTAGTAAAAATGTAAAACCTTAGGTAGGATCCGTGAGTAACCAGTGGAGGGCAGCAGGGCTCATTTTCAACAGAGAAGAAGAAAGCAGAAGAAGAGACAGAACATCAACACCAGTGAAACTATGGCAGATGACAAGGTCGGTGTCCTCCACTTTCGACGTTAACTGTACGTTATAGATATTTGGTGTTACTGAGTTATATTATTATAACAACCCGCCGACACTGACGGTGTCATCCCGCTGTCCGCATTTAACGTTAGCTGATGAAGACAGTTTATGTTGTTAGCTTAGCTTAGCTTAGCTTAGTTAGGTAAGGTAAATAGTAACTTATATATATATATATATATATAGTTAGCTTATATAAATATAACTGGGCTAGATCACTTTAAACATATTTACGATGGTGTAAACACAACAAATATTAACGCTAAAGTAGTTAACGTTTGTAAGAACTTTGAAAGTTTGTCGGTAACTATTGTTGAAGTCACCTTCATGCTGAGACAACCCGTTTATAAACGAGGATAATATGACCTAATGTTATAGTGCTTAATTCAAGTGGGCTATCTCTAAATATAAAGTAAAGTCGTAGCGTAGGTGTAACATTAACCTAAGTTAGCTAACGTTAGCTGCTGGCTAATTAACGTTTGTTGTTTTAACTAACCTTAATAATTTACATTAGATTAGTCTTGTCATAGTATGAGTACTGTCACTCATTTCAACATTAATGACAACCGAGTGAACTAATTAGTTTTGTTAAAGCTGTGTTATGTTCTTGTACAAATTGCTCTAAAAGTGACCTTTGTCATTGTTTGGTGTTTTCCTTTAAGAGATGTGAAAATAGGAGCGATATAAGCCTAGAAACAACTTATTATTAGTTCCCATTTGCAGCCTTTTTTTCCTCTAAAATGTCCTCAAATGGTCTGTTAATTGTATGAATGTTGTGTTGTTTTACATTACTTTGTCTACTGTCTTCTAATCTATGAGAGCTAATAGCATGCATCATTCTGTGTTTCATTATTGTCCTAACATATTAGTTGCAATGTCTCATGGTGTGCTCTCTGTTTTTGGGAGACCCTTGTAAGTGACCCTAAACTGTTGTTTGTTTGTTTGTTTGTCTCTGTGTGTATTTATCTGTGTGTGCGCAGAATCCTCTGAGCCAGCTCAAGGATCTGGTGGAGCTGAAGGACCAACTGGAAGACATTCAGAGACGGGTGGAAGATGAGATACAGGCTGGGGTTCCTCCAGTAAGGCTCACATACGTACATGCTCAAAGGCTAGGCAGCTTTAAAAACATATGAAACTGCTAGTATGCAGAAATAAAACCACTGGTCAGTCTACCAACTTCAAGGTCTAATCTCTCCTCTCCTGTCCCCTGCAGGGAGGCAGTCTTCTTGCTTCTCCTTTCCTGAAGGGTTTTCTGGCCGGGTACATTGTTGCAAGGCTACGCTCCTCAGCGTTGATGGGTGTTGCTGTAGGAACGTGCACAGGAATCTATGCGGCACAAAATTATGCCGTTCCCAACATTGAAAACAGCGTCAAAGACTACATACGCAACCTGAGAGGAGGACGCAAATGAGAAGAGAGCAGGAAAAGTAAGAAAACAAGAAGAGTCTTCAAGAAGAGGATGCCGGTACAGCTTCATACGGGAACAGATATGTATTTCAACATTTCAAAACCTTTTAGTAGTTATTATTTTTCAGCTTCCACATGGATCAGTAAAAAAAAATATATAAAGTCAACTTATGGAGTATTTCTTTCATATTTTTGGGGATTCAGTTGAAACATATTCACCTGAACCCTTCCTACATGAGTGTTTAGAATCCGTGACTGAAATACATTTTGTAATAAATAAAATATTGACATGCAGGTGGAAAGGATTACAATTCAGTTAATTTAAACCCCCATATTTCTTTCCAATGCGGTCAATGATTGAAATTTTGACAAACTGCTGCCTACAGTAGTCATTACAGCTGCTATAATTGATTTAATTCATTCTGACCTCAAACCGTTCCTGTCTGAAAACACAATATGGGCTCAAGATTTATTGAAAACGTAATGAGACTGTGTGTGTGTGTGTGTGTGTGTGTGTGTGTGTGTGTGTGTGTGTGTGTGTGTGTGTGTGTGTGTGTGTATACATGTATGACCAGGGACATTATTTCTGTCGTCTTCTTTGTTGTCTTCTGCCCTCTAGTGGTCAGACAATCAATTATAGCAGCCTTAACTAATTTGCACTTATTTGCTCAGGGGTTGATAGAGCATTTAAAATTGTCTCACCTCACATGACATTGTGGTCTTCAGTGTAAAACCTGTCAAAGACTTTCATGGTTCACACTGGGCTGTGTCTTGGCAGGCACCTCTTCATGTGATTATAGGTCAATTTTTCACTTGGTAAAACGTTTTTATTTTTGAATTATAGTCATCATGTTTGTAGAGGTTCATGAAAAATAACATAAGGTACACTTTTGAGAGATTTTTATAATTGTAAAATTACACACTGCATTCAAAAACACAAAAAAGTACTCCTAGAAATGTTAAATTTCTCTCTCTCTCTCTCTTTCTCTCTCTCTCTCTACACTGCAAAAAAGTCCTTCAGACTTCAGTCTGAAAGAGCTGGAAACACAGTTTAATAGGCTATCAAAGGAAAATGTATGCCAAAGTGAAATATTTGTTTAGAGATGTGGTGTTTTATGTTAAAGATATATTAAGAGTGCCTACTCTGGTCTGAACTTGATATTATCATCTCATGCCATGTGTGCAATAGCCTTTCCTGATGGGAGTTGGCTGCCTATTTCATATGCTGGAAACTAGTTGATCTTTTTGCACTTGTATGGAATTTAGGTATCTAAAGTTGTTATTTTGTCATGCAGTAATCAGTGATTATGTTTTTTATTCTAAAAATATCAAAACCTGTCCTGGAAAATCAGCGGTATAGTGAAACGCACAGAAAAACACCTAAACAGTACCACACTTATAATAAGTAAGTAAGATAATACAGTAGACATGCATCAGAGTTTAAATCTTCATGTTGTCTGGCAGATATTTCACGTAATTGGATAACCTAAAAACATTTATTTTAAACAAATTTAAACAAAAAAATAAGTTGTCTACTCTATCGGCAGTGTTGCACAAATGTATTATTGAAATACGCTTTATGTATTTAAGTTTGTCAGATTAAAACTACATTTCTTAAAAGTTTTACACATTGTAAACACTACAGTATATGCTGATATGAGAATAAAAACAAATTATGGAACATATTCAGCACAGTCTAAAACAAATAAATTCTAATCGAGGAAAGGTGTGTAAAAGTGCACTGAGATACACGACAGCAACATTAGATACCCCAGGTCCTGAATTGCTGCCATTAAACGCACAATGCTTGTGTACACAGTCAGGCCTGTTGCATGTATTAGAAAAAGAAGCCATAAACAAACATATTCAAGTTCAGATTGAGGTTTTGCCCATTTTAGGTTATACTGACTGAAACTATTAGAAAACTATGTGTACTGTATATTTGATAACTGGAATCCTGAAACAACTTGTGCCTATTTACAATCATTGTGTTGCTGTCTATGTTTTGCATGCTCTTAGTTTCATTTCCTGTCTATTATGTTTTTGCATGTGTTCTCGTTTTTTTTTTTTTTTTTAATAATACTTTTCTTTAAACACTTGATATGATGTGGGATATGGAGTGACCGGTCTACTGATGGTGCTTCATCTCACTGGCTAATGTAACCGTGTTGTCGTCTGTACATCAGTGCAGATTAAGTTCAATTAAACAGTTTGAAATTCCATTGTGATATTGTAAAAGAAAACCACAGATACTGTCTTTTAATCGATTTATTTGTGTTGATCAAATAAATGGGGAAAATACAGTTTACAATTTTCTCAAAACTGAATTATTCTTGCTTCCCGATTGTGCCCAAATGTGTCTCAGTGTATTTTTGAATCAGTTTCATCGCCCTAACTTTAGTAAAACATTTAAGGTCCAAGTGACCACACTGTTTGTGTGAATTTTTTAAAAATATATATAAATTCAGAATTACTCTGCACACACTGCATTGAATTGCCCCTTGGTCCACACTGTTATTTTTTTATTCACTGCTCTTTACAAACTTCCCAACATAGAAAATAGGTTATTTTTAGGAAACTGACATGGGCCAAAATTTGAATTTAACATTATTTAAGTTTACAAAACAATTACACCCTTTTTAAAATACTTAACTTTTACCATCCATTTATAAAAACTGAAATATGGTGGTATGTTATCAATAGCAAAAAAAGTCACCTGTCCATATTGGTTGCAGATGATAAGATAATAGCAAGCAGAGAAATGGCTGTAATTTGGTAATTTATCAGCAGTTTATGAAACCCCAGTGGCTTATCAAGTACTACAAACACGATGGTGATTATATGTTGACAAAGTTGTAGCAAAGTTATGATTTGGGCTTGAAGAGTTGCTGGTCTCGAGGAGATTTCATCAGCTTCAATTTACCCAAAAAACAAACAGAACAGAAAAGAGAAGATAAAAACACATTTTTCAAATATATAATATAAAGTATTTTCCATCTAAAAATGTCCCTTTACAAAATTATTGAAATAGTCATAGTCTCTCAGTGAGGAGAGGCATATCTCACATCCTACATACAGTAGTGCTTACAGATATTTATATATAACTAGTGAATCAGAGGGACACCATATGTGTACTCACCACAGCATTAGGCCTCGACATCAGAGAGAGTCAACACTTTGCTCATGCTGCCTACAAACACAGAAACTTGACTATCAACAACATTTCAGTGTAAAGCAGGGTTCCACAATAATTACATTATATATGATTAGATAGATACTTTATGTACATATATATATTATTTTAATAATTTAAATGCTATAGATTTCTAAAATGTGCATCTGGATCCAAAATCAGATCTCCATAAAAGCACTGATACTCAATAATGGAATTACATATCCCAAAGTTTTTTTCAGTGTAACATTTTATTTATAAAATGTCCAAAATCTTGCAATGATAAATTGTTTTAAACAAAAATTCTTGGATCTGCACCAAAAATAATCTCTTGGCACAGGGCCTAAGCAGACATCTTTGGTTTTTTAAATATATCCTGCTAATAATTCACAAACAAGGATGACTGAATGACATTAAAGCAAACTCCTACATTAATAAACTAAAATCATAAATACAACATAAAAATATTCCTTTTCACTGAGTGTCTCTCAATCTGACTTCATGACCAGTTATTTTGTCTCACCAGCGAGGACAGCTGCCCTGCATCTGGCCGGTCCCTTGCTCAAAGATCCAGGGATCTGTTGCCCGTTGACTGGGTTCACACACCAGCAGTGTGACATGAAGCACTGCTGGGCCTTGTAGAGGCCGCGCTGATCGCAGGAGGGTTGGAAACCTGGCACCCGCACAGCCTTCACACCAGCGGCCTCCAGCTGGCAGTCAGTGGCCGACTGAGGAGCTAGAAGAGGAGACCAGAGGAGTTAAACTTAGCAGGAAACATATGAGGGGGAAAAAAAAGGAAGACAGAAAAAGATCATACAATGTATACAGATATACATATACAGTAAATATATACAGAACATACCACTTTTTTCTGGGGCTCCGGTGGAAGCTTCCTGCAATACAATCAGTGAAACAAAACAGAGAACTGAGAGAAGACCACAACATACATCTGATTTTATAATAATATGACAGGATTTATTGCAAGAGAGGAACAAGACAAAGACAACAGTGTCACTGTCTTAAAGCTGGATTTATTTATTTTTATTATATCATTAAATTCAAACAATATACCTGCGCCTCATTGTAACTAGAGCCTGACTTATTACATGGTTTGACTGCTATATCGGAAATATTAGCTTATTAGTATCTGCATATTTGTCAGCTGGTACCAAACAAAAAACTGCAATAGAGAAACGGCAGAGATCCAACTGGGAGCACTGACAAGTCTGTTTTCGGTGTTCTGCTTCCAAAAAATGAATTTAAGGGACTCTTATTAAAAAATTTTGTGTTTCTGTAAAAAAAAAAATGCAATACATTATTTTACCTCATCCACAAAGTCATCCATCAGCTTGGGCAGGGCATTCATGGGCATGTCCATGCGAATGGGCACAGAGACTACAGACAGAAAGAGTAACAGTGTGTGTAAGAGGTAGAAAAAACTGAGTTTGATTGAGAAAATTAAAGATTATATATTTTTAGTGTATGAGAATGAATATTTTTCCTTTCATCAGATCAGAAAAAAGAGGAGAAATTGTCATTATTTGGTTTGCCTTTACATCCACTGCAGTGATTTATCATAAATCTGATCCAATATATTACAGGTCACTTGTTGATGTTGGTGACATTTGACATTTTCTTGAGCTGCCCACAAGGTTATTGAGAAATTAAACTTATCCTGCTTTTGCAGCATAAGCCATTCTGTTAAATGCCGACAGCGTATAGTACATCTCTCCAAATCTGAACTGAATTTTGCCTCCTCACCAGATCTTCCCTTCGTCAGCTCTGCCTTCAGGTTGTTGCTCTGCTCCTCCAGAGATCTGATGTCGCTCCTCTGGCTGAGGAGGAAGTAGGCGATCATCGCCTGCCCCGCAATCAGGACACAGGCCAGCAGGGTTATACCTGCCACCTTATAGGCCTTGGAGGGGCGGCCACTGGAGAGCGAGAGGAGAAAGAAAGGTGGAGGAGGGGAAGAGAGTGGAGGTAGAAGGCGAGACGAGAAACATTTAGAGGACTTGTTGGAAAAAGTGAAAATGAAGAAAATGATGATGAAAGAAAAAGTCATTATTGTGCAATATCATCAGCCATTTTAACTGTTGGAGGAGAGGTACTTGGTTTAACCTCCTCTGGTATCCTTCCTGATAAATGATGTATGATTTAAAAAAAAGGGAAAGGGCAAAAAAACTGTGATAATTGGTATTGGCCACTGACTATAAGGTCCTAACTAAATCCTTGGGGGGGGGCAGTAGATATGAAGGTGAGGGAGCAAAGGATAAAGCAAAGTACAAGGAACATTACAGAGGCTGATACTTGGCTAAGTATAAGGGAAATTCTTTGAAACAGGAACCTCAGCTATGGTATGTATACAGTACGTCACCACAATGAAATCAGTTGTTGCTAAGCAGATACTTTTGGGAAAGTTTAGGAATTTTTCGCATCTGCCTTTTACCCTTTGTTATTCTCAGCAAGGCGCTGTTTGGAAATTCCCATTAATTTAAATAGCGTGATTTCTGTAAAACTACTTTAAAATCTCAGCTAATGTTCAATCTGTAAGTCTGTCCTTAAGTACAGTCTTGTCTTAAGATTGGCTAATAAAGGTATACTTCATGGAAGTGGTATTCACGCACTCAAAAATATGAGTGAATGACACCCATATATCCCTTTTCCTTATTTACTAACTCCATGTATACTTTAAATTATTATTATTATTAATTTAATTAAAATGTATCTGATGAATGTATTTTATGTATTTCTTTGCTTTTCACAGAGCTGTTGGTTTCCATTCATTTCACATGTGAAAATAGTGCACACAAATTAGACCTGTTCAGTATGGTGGATTACAACAGTGGCTTCTGATTAATTTGAATGGAGATGAATGGAAATAAATGGCTGGAGGGTAGAAGTAAACTACAAAATGATTACCTGTAAATTAAATTGTAAATTGGGTTAAAAATGAACAAAACACTAACGTGGTTTGGCCCCACTAATGCAACACACACACACACACACACACACACACACACCGGAACTCAAAGTAAGTAGTAAGTAAGTTCAAAGTACTTACCCCTCTCCTGGCTGAGCTCTGAGGAGGGGCTGGCTTGGGGTCTCGGGGTCCGACATCTTCTCACAAACACACGCCTGTAAACACACACACACACACACACTTAAGTATCTTAAACACAGATTATGATGCTACTGACACAAAACAAACAAACATTACACGCACACACACACACACACACACACACACACACACACACACACACACACACTTACAGTAATCACACACACAGAAATGATACCTTTCAGGTCAGGTCGGAAGCTGTTTCACAAAGATAAATGACAGAACTCAGAGAAGAGGTTACCTTTAAGGATGAGGAGAGACAGAAGGAACTGAAAGCAAGAGGCGGGGAAAACCAACTCTCAACCTGAACAATCAATTTGATTGGTTCCTCAGCTCAACGCATCATCTGTTTCCAGAGAAAGAGTATACAGATATTTAGCAATCATGAAACAGCAGGTGGAGAGATTTATAATCACTTAATATCTTGTTCAAATTTCTAATTAATGAAATTCTAGTTTAAAATAAATGACTGTGTCATTATTAGGAAACAGATTTAATTTGTAAAAATACGAAGAAATAGTCCAGGCCATACTGGATACTAGGCCTGTACCACAGGTTCACTGAGAGCATTTATGCATTGTGGGTCCCTGTTTTGTATAGAATTAAATTCATAATGTTGCAGCTCAAGACGGATAAAGCCTTAAATCACATTCTTTTTACTTTTTTTTTGACCCAGCAGACCCCAACATTTAGACAATCATCAGGTTGTTGTGATATGTCATTATCATGTCTTTTCCATGGAAGAAGTGCCATAAGGATTATACAGAAACAATTATAAACTTAATTAATACTTTATTAATATACTTTTCAAATAAATACAAGTGTAATGATCTATTATAAATTATAGATCAAATGATTATCATCTCATCTCCTGTCCATCATGTCTTATCACTCTGTATTTCTATATATGTATGTATGTGAATGTGTGTTTGTACCCCTGCTGTTCATGGTTTACATACTGTATGGACTCAATAGTTCTATTGAATTTATTTAGTGACCTACTGACATCTGATAAACACTGTTTGTACTAAAAGGACAAACAAAACAAAGTATCAGATAATTATTGAGCCTGGGTATGTATTTGGGTTTTTTTTTTTTGGTTTTGATTTTGAGGAACAAAAACCTTTACGTGAAATGGAGATACAATGGGAGTTTGACATTTGAGAAGTAGTGGCTGATAAAGGAAGTGAAAGTCCAGTCTTTCCTGTGTCGGAGCTAGAACAAATATCCAGGGGGGCATGAGGCTCATAAAGCAGGGCACACCAAACTAAGGGGCAAAGTAGTTAGTGAAACCATTTGGTCACAGTCACTTTCCTAATAATCTGTCTAAAAGGAGAAAATACTTGGGTTTAAATAAACAGGACACACACATTTCACAGTGACTGAAATGCATCCAAATGACAAAAAGACCCTTTCACCGAGTACTCCAGCCAGTCCTTCCTCTGGTATAAGGCAGCAAGAAAACATCTCTACTCCCAAACAGACTCACTGGGTAGGTATGGAGACTGTATAGTATGTTTAGGCCCATCTTTTCCTAAAACATCCACAGTGGTGTCAGGCTCAACAGCATGACTAAAAAAAATAACATCATTGCCAAGCCTTGGCTTGTTTCTTTCTGTTGAGCTGGTCAACCTCAACTAACTTAAACTAGCCTACACCCAATGACAGACTTTAAGTGTCAAAACTATAATTTCACTTAACTTGTAAAACTTAACAGCATTCTAGCTTTACAGTGGATTTCAAATTAAAACAGTCATGAGAAAACACTGACAAGCTTTAAATCCAACTTCCTTGTGGAGCTTACTATTCAGTTACACATGGGGATTGGCTGAAGTTATAACAAAATTTTCCTTTCCTCTTGCATGAGTTCATTTTCAGACTGAACAAATTGATATGGGCAGATGGTGGTGACATTGAAGGATCTGTCCTAGGTTTCTGCCTTTTAACAGGCAGTTTTTCCTTGCCCTTGTCGCCTAGTGCTTGCTCATGGTGGTACTGTTGGGTCTCTGTAAATAATGTTTTAAAGAGTTCGGTCTAGACCTGCTCTATTTGAAAAGTGTCCTGAGATAACTTCTGTTATGAATTGGCGCTATACAAATAAAATTGAATTGAATTGAATTGAATTCTGTATAAAATACCATGGCTAAGGGTTCCTGTTTCAAAGAATTTCCCTAATTTCTAGCCAGGTATCAGCCTCTGTAATGTTCCTCATATTCTGCTTTATCCTTTGCTTTCTCACCCTCCTATTTACCTCTTTTTGTTTTTATCTCTTTCCCCAACTTAAGGATTTATCTCCAGGACCTTATAGTTAGTGGCCGATTTTTAAAATCACAATTGGGAAAATAATAATAATAAAAATAAAAATGAAATAAATACATTTTAAATAACAACAACAACAACAATAACAGGAATGGTTCCGGTGTAAAATGTGTTTATGAACTGAGCAAAGTTAGTGCATTTGGTATGAAAGACTTTTTGTAAATGTTCTTGGTTGCTGCAGCAGCTCTATAGCGTCGTCAGGAAGGGAACAGAAACGAAGTTGTCTGGCTTTTTGTTTCACATGTATTTATATACATCCCAATTGTTTCTACCCTTTCCATAAGTAACATGCTGGTCAGCACAACCTAAAAACATTGAGTCCTGTTGCTCTGGGCTTCTCATAAACAAGAATCATATTGGAGATTTAACGTTACATATTTGGGGAACAACATCTCAAAGCTCAGAGCTTCTTGAATTAACAGAGTGAAACCAAAATGAGAAAGACATTATAGCCAATCTACTGTATTACACTCCAGTCCAGTGGGTGGCGGTATGGAGCCTGTAAGCCAACCAAAGAAGAAGAAGCTACAGCCTGCCCTTTAAGACTTTTGGATGTTGTCATTGGTTGAACGAGTACTGTTGCAGGAAACAGGCATTCCTCTTTCACCGGAATACCCACCAATAATTGCAACATTTTATTGTCAAAGGTATAAAAGTACAGTTAGTTGTCAAGCTTAATGACATGCGGAGAAATAGTGCCATAAGTTTGTATGCCACGTCGTCGTGCTAATTAGCCAGCTAACTCTGCTAGCGTCAGCGTGAAGCGCCAAATTTGAAATAAGAGCTAACCTCAACTTGGTTATGATAGCTAGCAAACTATTCAGTGTTGCTGTTACTTGCAGGACATATTAAATATCTTTGCTCTCTGTTTAACTGTAAGTAAACTAACTGTGTGAATGTGCTGGGTAACGATATATAACGTTGGCTTAAACTATGAGTAGCTGTTGTTAGGACAGTTATCTGAATGATGTTGTGCTTTTATGTAACGCTAGCTAACTAAACACATTGTCTAACAGATGATGCGAAGACCCCGAGCAACAACAGCCAAAGATGTAAACTACAGATACACGGACACCGACCTGTAAGTGTTTTTTTATTCATTCATTCATAGCAGGGATTTTCTGCAACAACAGCACTTTAGTGTTTATGGTCTATGTTCATTGTGTTTAATTGGGGGTCAGATATCCACTTCATCTCCGATCCATTAGAGACACTATCCTGTGTTTACAATATTGGGGACCAGTCAAACCTGGGAAAAACCTATACCATTTAACACAAAGAGCAAAATCTTATTCTGCTGTTAGAATTAGCTGACTTCCCACATCATTCCTCCTCTACCGTCAGGTCCTTTTCTCAGATGGAGAGTAGTGATGACGATAATGAGGAATGGAGTCCAGCACAGCCAAAACCAAAAGCCAGCAAGACTGCCAGAGACCCTGCAGCAGGAGAGAAGAAAGCGCCTGCCAAGAGAACGGCTAAACCAAAAGAGCCAAAAGCCCCCAAACAACCTAAAGCTCCCAAAGTGCCTAAAGAGCCTAAGCCAAGAGCACCACGCAAACCTGCTGCTCAGCGGAAAACACTGGCCGCTAAAGTTCTGAAGGATTCCAGTTCATCTGGGTTGGCTGGAACAAAGAGGAAAATGAAAGCTGAGGGCAAAAATGAAGACAAAGTAGAAAAACAGACAGATTGTCCAGAGCAACAGGGGGCCGAAGAGAGTGGGCCAGGTGTCAGAATGAAGGAAGAGGTAAGTCTAATGGCCAAGTTAGTAAGAGTTTGTATATATATACACTGACTTTAAAATATTGTTATAATTTATCTGTGTGTTTCTGACCTTTGTACACCAAAATTGCTGCATCTAGAACAGCCAGTTGAATAAATTCAGTTACTTTCCTTGTTGCCGTTTTCTTTGCAACACTTCATAAAGACGACAAATCTCTCGTTTGTGTATTTCTCTTGATCTCTTTCCGTTTTTCTTTCCCTTGTTTTATCTTATAGAGGGTGTCATTTATCGTGTCAGAAGCCCATCAGGCTGACGGATGGGCAGGCGAGGGGTCATCACTAGCTGGTTTTAGAGCAAAAAAAGAGGAAGTGGAGGAGGAGGATTTCACGTTTGATGAACCCTGTCCAAAGAAACAGAAGACCAGTGGTGCCTGCCTGGGACAACCATCTGCTTTACCATCATCACAAGCACAAGATCTGAGGAATGAACTCGATATGAACTGGGACTTGATAGAGGTATTGTGGGTTTGTTGGTGTGTTTTATGTGTTGGAAAGTTTGTTTATTCTTGTCCGATGGTGGACAGTTTGAAGGTGACCCAGTGGGGCACCCATGAAACTGACAACAACACATAAGTGTATTTACATTCCTCTTTTAGCAACATGGCAATTAATCACACAGCAATAATGCTGATAAGCTGTTGTTGGGGACATTACCCTTTTAACAAAATTATAGGAGTTTTTGAAACTGGATCCAGTGTGTACACAAAGTTGCAAAGAATGGAAATGGATGGGAACTATCAACAGGTAGCTTTGCCATTGAATGTTGTTCCCTTTTCATTAGTTAAAACTCTCTGGCTAAAATAGCTATCCATTGAGGTAATTGGACACACATAGTAAGTGTATGCATATTGATAGTTACTTATAGTTAAACTAATTTACTACAGTACAGTAAAATGATCCACCACCAACAACGGCGATGGAGAACATAGGTTTTAATGACACATCTATATCTATGTGAGAGACTCAAAGAGAAAACAAGAAACCTTTTCTTATGAACACCCTTAATGTCTAAAGGCACCCACAGATACTGGATCCAAGATATTAACAATGGAAAAACATTTCTTTTAAATTGTCTGTTGAAATGTTAATAATTAATGGATATATGGGCAGTGTCTTACAGCCTAAATACCTTTTTACATGTATATTTTTACTGTTTGAACATGTGTGTGTCCTTCCCCTTAGCTGCTGTCCATCCTGACATGTGTGGAGCGATGGGTGTGTGTAAATATAATTTCGCTGCTTCGTGAGGAGAACACGGTGCCGTTCATGGTGCGTTACCGCAAAGAGATGATTAACCACATGGACGCAGATGCTGTCCGAGATGTCCAGCTGGTATATGAGGAGTTACGGTAGGCAAATGAAATATCTTAAATAAAATAAAATAAACTAATTCACCTTATCACCCACTCACACTCTTGCCAGCACTCATTAAATGCATGTAGAGGCATATTTAGATACAGAGTTTCACATATACAGCTGCAGTCTAGAAATGTTTTCTTATATGAGCTTTATATGAGTTTAGTTCATTTCCACACAGCATATTTAAAATTGGCCACTAGATGGTGCTATTGGTCAAGCTTTGAGGCTTGAAACGGTGACAGTTGCATGATTGTGTTTTACATTTGTATGTGCATAACTGTATCATGTGTTTGTGTCTCTATGTGTTTGCACTTTATATATAATCTGTTTTTGTATATTATATTTGTGTTTTTTCAGCTCTCTAGCCAAGAAGACCCAGTCTGTGATTCAGACACTTAGGAAGGATGGGGTTTTGACAGCTGAGCTGGAGCAGAACCTGAGGAGCTGCCGATCAGCTGATGAACTGGATCATGTGGTCAGAATAAAATTGTTTTGCTACAGTAATATCAATCTTTTAAATGTGATTTGTACCTCTCCTTACCAACCACTCAGCCCGGTGCTTCTTTCTTTGTCTGTAGTATTCTCCCTATAAGAAAGGCAGTAAGCTTACGAAGGCTCGCAGGGCCAAAGCACTCGGCCTTGAGGTGGCCGCCTCCACGCTGTTGGACACACCGCACACTCTCGATTTAAGGGCATGGGTAAAACCTGGTACTGAAGGTAAGACATAAACACACACAAAATGAGGAGTTTTGTAGACAGTAAATCACCGGTAAACATAGCACCGAGAGTCATTATGCTTGGACAAGAACCCCCGATTTTTTTTCAACTAATAGATCATGTTTGGTCATTTCTGTCACGAGACAGACTTAGCAGATACATGTTAGCTGTACATGTTGCATGGTGCAGTTACTTTTAATTATGTGCTGTCCCTGCCAAAATAAACAAATATAATTTAAGTATGTACAGATTTTGAGCTGCTTAGGATATTACTTGAATTGTGCCCTCATGTTCACTAATTGGATTAGACATTTTTTTCATCTTTTATTAAAAAGATTGACAGATTCAGACATACACGCACAAACATTTACAATGACATTTAAATTGTGAAAAATGCTGTGAAAAACACATTGTTTAAATTATATTGGCTTTTACCTGATCTCATTAAAGGTCCCCAAGAGTTCTGTTTTTAAGTACAGCATGTGTGTTTGTGTGTCAGGTCTGTCATCGGTGGAAGAAGTGGCTACAGGTGTGGAGCACATCTTGGCTGATATGATTGCCAAAGACCCTGAGACACTCACATACGTGAAAACATTGTGAGAACATATCCACATGCACATGTTTAAAATGTTGTGTGAGGTTTCGGTTTAATTTCCACAAAGGTCTGTGTTTGTCATTGATATTGGGACCAGACTTTCTTTTACTCAATATTCTGATAATAATACAGTCCCTCCTCCTTCTTCTTTCCCTCCGTGTTTCTCTCTTCCTGTGACAGGTGTGAGAACAGCTTTGTGACCATCCAATCCTCTGTGTCCAAGTCAGCACTAAAGGAAAGGGAACAGGAGAAGTCTCTCCAAGGCAACAAAAAACCGGGGCCCCAGCAAAACAAAAACAAGGACATTGACAAATTCCACCTCTACTTTGACTTCACCTGTAACATCCAGCGCATCCAGTCCCATCAGGTAGACCCTTTTATCAGCCTCATGGCATATCCATCCACCCCTTCTTGTTACCATAAGTTGGAACAAATACAGTACCAACAAACTGCTATAACAGAGAGCTAAATCTTGTGCTTGGAGAATATTGGTGTGCCACACATTTCTTACATAGAAGAAAAATGTGTATATACAGGGGATGTTTTAAAAAAGCATTATATTCAAGTCCAAACGATTTCATCTAGTGTATTAACAGGTAAAAAAAAAAATACTCATCCACACATTTACTTGCTTACTTTCCTTTTTGTCTTTTGAGGAGAAAATCATGAACTATCTCCTTTTTAAACCTGTTTAGTACTACAGGTCAACATATTTAATTTAAATTAAATATTTAGTTATTCATTTTAAGTAAGGAATGTTAACTACTTGTTAAGCTTGTCAGAATTGCTGTGCATTGGGCTAATATGGCAGTATTGTTATCTACACATGCTCAATTTAGAAAATTAGGAAAACTAAAAAACGTTATAAAGTTACTCAATATTATACACAAGGTGAAATGAAATACTGACAAACCATGTACCTTTATCAGCCAGGTGCTCAACAAACAAAAAGTATGACATTTTCCTTGGTAAGGAGGACACGCTTTTACTGTGCTGCGTCTTTTTACTTCCTACTGGCGTTACTACTTAAAAAAAAAAAAAGCACCAGCCTGGTAATTTACACCTGTATTGTGTGTATTGATTAGCCTGGTACACTCTCACAAAAAGATACACACACACACACACACACACACACACACACACACACACACACTCACAAACACACACTCACAAACACACAAACAAATGCACACCATCTGTTGTGTTTGTGTCATTTCTGTCTGCTTCATCTGTGCTGCTTCTGAATGCTAGCCATGTCAGTCGCAGTTAGCCTTGTCTGTGCCTCCATATTTACCCCTCCTGTGCCCTGCTCTGCCTCCTCTGCTCCCCCTCTGTCCCTCTAGTGACTAGTGGGTTACTCAGAGCTGGTCACAGGCCTCATATGTCACCACAGCTTCCATCACCCGCTGCCTCTCTGCCACACCACACTCTCTGGCAACCGCACTCTGCCCTACAGTCATACATATACATACACATACACATACATGCATGCGCACACACTTGCTCACACACAAGCACACCCTGCAAGTCCCCTCATTCTCTCCTCTTAACATATGTGACATGTCCCCTGCCGACATGGCATTGGATTAGGAAGCTTTGATTGACAGGCGCTCTCGTGTAGTGACAGCTACTGCTGCTGGGCCCACAGGCGGACGGAAGAATGGGGAGAGGGAGTGGGGGTGGTAAAGGGAGGGAGAAAATGAACAGATGAAAGACGTTGAGGTGCGTCCGTCACTTATCTCTCTTGCTCCTCTCTGATCTGCCTCCCTCCCTCTTTTTCTGACTAAACCGCGGCCCTACAATCCACTCCACGCCTCCCCCTTTCCCCTTTCCTCTCCAGTGTATGAGAGGCCTTTAATTTGATGACTCGCTTTTGTCATGAAGCGTTAATCCACAGGCTGCTGTGACCCTGCTAGCTGTCGGATTCCGGCTAAAATGAACCTTTTCTAGCCGTCAAGTTGTCGGGAAGGGGGAGCAGGTGGGAGATGTGTTTTGACAGGAGGCATGTGTGTGAGCACACACTTGCCCGTTTGCCTTAGCACATTTTATTAAGCCCCAGCTCTGGTAGTTTGTTAAAGGAAAAGGATGGGGCATTGTATGAAGGGGGCGATAGAAAGATTAGAGTTGGTCCAGTGAACATGCAAGTTCACCACTAGATGGGAAGTAACACCCTGTGGTGGCAGATGAAAGACATACAAATACAAATTAAAAAAGGATGAAGCGTGAACATTCAATTTTAATTGTATGCTTCAAATGCACATTGAGATTAAAAGGTATGAGGCTGCCACTAATACTAATTTTCATTTTAAAGGAATCTGGCAATTATTGTCTCGATGTAATTGATTTATTGTTTTGCCTATAAGATACTGCAGCCATCAAATTGCTTGTTTTGTTGGACCAACCATCCTAAACCAATGACATTAATTTTATAAGACAAAGAAAAGCTGCAAATTCTGAGAATTTAATAGCTGCAACCTGAGTGTTTTGCATTTCTTGCTTGAAAAATGACTGACGCGTTAAATTGCCGACTTTTTTATGTCGATCGGGTAATTGATAAATTGACGAATCATTTCAGCCCTAAAAGAATATATAATTTATCATTGAGATTTATGGAATAAGTCCACTTATATACGCCTTTATAGAATTATATGTCACATTTTTTATAAATTCATCTAAAGTTGGTACATAAAGCCATTTGACATATCTAGTTGAGATGCTTAGCTCAGATTTAATTCCGTCAGATTTGACTTGAAGTGTTGATCGAAGGGTACGCATTTACCTTATAGCTATTAGCAGCTGGTACGCTCTTCAGTATGCCAGGGCGGATTTGTTGACTGTGCGGTGGGGTATTTTTAATGCGATTTGCGTTGTGATCAAATGGTAGTTTAGCACTCCAATCTGGGGCTTGCCTGCAGAGGAGCTTTAGTAAATGGAACTGTTTCATCAATTAAACACTTCTTTTTGATGGACAGGTGGAGAAAAACAAGTTTATTTACACTGTAACACACACAGTGACAAACATACATACACACACACACACACACACACACACACACACACACACACACACACACACACACACACACACACACACAGAAACAGTAAGAGACTGTAAAAGAATAACTATTCTACCAGTCTATAGTTTAGACAGTTATGGAATAACTAAATTAGGATCCCTGAGACTAAATCTCAAATAATTTGGGGATCCAAAAAGGCTGTGAATTACTGCTTTAGAGGCCATGAAGAATTTGATGATATTATATCTCGTGGTACATTGGTGTAATAAATAATACATTTTTTGAGAATGTAGAACATGTTCAATTATCCAAGAAATTTACAACATACATTGGTTATATATTTGTAATATTGTTCCATTTATAATATTAAATACTTACGACTGAGATAATGACATAAAACATTTGGTAAAGCCACATTTTAAGCTATGAAGTACTATGAAGTACTGTGAATTTCTGTAAGTACTGTCAGTACTTACAGAAATTTGTTGGCCGTCAGACCCCGTGCCGTGTTGTGTTTGTTTTTAGACAGAATACAAGAGTATGAAAGGGACAGAAGGAGTACAGAGTTCTCCTTGAGTACCCAGTATGTTTGTGTAAAAGATCAGTGTATCATGCTGAACCTTGATCCCTTCTGGTAACTGAGCCGCATTGATATTTAGAGAGTCAACATTTTTCTGGAATCGTACTGTCTACAGACTAAATGTAGTTTACATTCCACATGCTTTACCAGTTATAATTTCATTGTTTATCAGGAACATTACATGCTCAGTTTTTTTAACCTTCTTGCGCTAGTACAGCTAAGTCTTAACTTTTATTTTACAGATTTAAGGCAATCTGATGGCAGCTTTGTTGACCTGTTTTATATAATTACTTTCTTACACAGTATAGTCGGTCCCATGTGTGTCAGCCAGGTCAAAACGTGTGCAAGTCTGCTGTGTATCTGTGTGTGTCAGTATATGTGTATCTATTTGTTTATCCTTGATATGTCAGATGGATACATGTGTTGATGATGGTATTCCTCTAAAGAAAGGGTGAGAGAGAGATGGAGACAGAGAGAGAGAACGGTCGTTGGCTGACTGCCCTCCCTTGAGGGCAGGTGGATGGATGAAGGGGCATCTAGGAGAGACATTCTGTCTAGTCTTGTCAGAGTTTGGCCAGTACTTGCCAACATGTCACTTGTGGCCCATCTAACACACAAACACACGCTTCTCACTCTGTCTCACATCACCCTTCCTTTAAGATCACCCTCTGTGTCCCACCAGTGACCCAACCCAGGCAGAAACTGAGAGATGTACAGACAGGCACTAGGTTATTCATCATCGAGGACAGTGGCCAGCTACAGAGGAAAACAGAGCAAGGTCACGAATCATCAACTGTTGGAGACGGCCAAATGTTTTTAATTTTGTTGGGGAATAGCTGCATTCACCACAGTTGGGGTTTGGCACACAGGCAAAGACGAGTTAAATCTTGAGTTTTTTAGTTTATTTACAGGATGCTAAGAAGCGGAAGTTTAGTTTAGGGTTAGTGGATTTGCAGCTTACCTGTATTTCGACTTTGTCAAATGTTCAACATCTGGTACATAGATCCTGCATCATTAGTTTTAAAAAGCTCATTCAAATTTTGTGTTATCCATGAATCATATTGTGTATAGGCAGTCATTTCTCTTGCTTCTGTTGTCTTTCAGTGTTTATCTAAGGTGTGCCAACGAGTGCCATTTTCTGAAAACACTCAACATTGCTTTATCAATTATTTCTCATTTTTAGTTGATCCGATATTGAGTTTTTCAATACTTGTTCGTCCCCACATTCAACAAGCAGTGTGCTACGTATAGGAAGTGTACCCATCTGTAATGCAGGACAATCATGTAAAAGACTGGATGTCATTCTTCATCACACAAAATGATCTTGAAAAGACTGAACTCTGAGAACAAGGCAGTTTTACTACTTTAATTTCACTCATGGGCTTTCCATGAGAAAAAGTGTTTTGCTTCCTCCCTTTGACAGCATGTTAAACTTCAGTGCTTTGATGAAGATTGTTTGAGAAATCTCATCACAGTCAGTGTGGCAGCCCAGGGCAGGAACATGCCAACAGAAGAGAAATCTAACTTTTAATCATAATTCAAGCAAGCTAACTGCATTCATTCTTGCCTCTGCTATGCCATTAGCTGTGTTTTATATCTTTATTTATGTGTGTGTGCGTGTTGCATATGGGTGCAGCACATCCGAGGCTGCTGCTGAGTGGTAATGGTTGTGGCACCGTGTGTGGGTGTGGGTGAGGGGTAGGCCTTGCGGTCTCAGCGCTGATGGTGGCGTAGTGGTGGCATTTGTCAGCTTGCTTCTTCCGCTTGGTTTCCAGATTGATGTCTTGTTTCTTGGCCCTGTTCTGTGGTGGGCTAAAGGTTCCCCACTGAAAAGGTCAGACACTTACTACTGTTTGCTTAACAGCATGTAACAGTTCCTCTGAGGGGGGACCAGCACATAACACAACAGGCCTGGCCACAGGATATACTCCTAGGCTCATCACTTTTACACGCACGTATGTGGAGAGTTAAAGGATTCTTGGGGCTTTTGTGTAGAGGTTTTGGTGCATGTGTTTTTTTTTATTATACATGTTTGTCCTGTATACAGTCACCTTGTCTAACACAAACGAAGCCCTGTATGCACAAACATTCGCATTATTTTTTCTGCCAAATGGAAATAACAGAAATGTGGATCCTCACATTAAGATTAGCTCTGTAGTTTAAATTTAACTGAAAGTTTAGCAATGCGACCACAGAATTTTGCTGTCTCTCTGTTTCACAATTGCATAAGCAAACTCATCACACCACAGTAGATATAAAGTAGATATAAAGGATCTAAACTGCTGCTTTTCAGAAATGTTTGTGCTTTTCAGTTTGTGACTTGTAGAGTTTGTGAGGTTGGGATGGAAGTGGGTTTTCTCTGTGTGTTCATGTGCACTGTTTACACAGTTTATTGTATTGTATTAAACAGGGGAAATGTCTGTGTGTGCTTGTCCGTTTGTGTGCGTGTGCGTGTGCATGTGTGCACACGTATGTTTTGTGTTGTGTGGTTGCCTGCATGTGTATGTGTACAGACCCTGGCTATTAACCGAGGGGAGAGTCTGAAGATTTTGACAGTGAAGGTAAACATTCCCGACAGGGTGAAGAGTGACTTCACCAGGTGGTGCATCAACAACAGGTCAGAAACACACACACACACACACTTAGATTTTTTTGTATTAAAGGATTTACAGTGAATTGGAACTTGTGGAGAAATACTGAACTTTAAATTGCTTTTAAAGCAAATATGAATGGATCCTCACTTTTGTACAATCCATTCATTAGTTAGGGTTCCTTCAGATAAGATTTTACCTTAGGAATTAGAGGAGTTGAGTACAAAGAATTATTAATGGATTTGTATTTTTTACGTACAATGTAAAGAAGAGTGGATTAAAAACTATTTTCTAGGTAGAACTCTCAAATTAATTTGTACTGCTGCATCATTTAAATACCCTTTTGAATATTAGATCAGAGAAAAAAAATATTAACATGCATTTGGCTTCAGTCAACTTATCTTTTTTCTTCTTTTTGCAGACTAGGGGAAGTCACATTTACTTTTATCAATTGCATTTATCAGTGACAATGACCCATATTTAAAAAGTCACATTTGTTTCCACTGTTTTAATGCAGATGGAGGCCAAGGACACTTGCAAGAGAAGAGCTTTGTGCAATCATCAGGAATGCAGTAGAGGACTCTTATAAAAGGCTTATTCTGCCTTTCCTTACCAGGAGTTACAGGTATTTTAGTGTGACTGTTAATGTGTGTGTGTGTGTGTGTGTGTGTGCTGTTTTTCCTTTAATCATCACTTTTTATTTTACACTGTATCCTTATTCCCTCTTCTTATTTTCCCCTCCCTCGCCTCTTTATTCCCATCTCTTTTTTTATCTTTATTTCTTTTTGCCCCCATCATAAAACTAACCCACTCCTCTGCCCATCTTTCCCCTTTCCCATCTTTCTCTGCACCTATCTTGCCTTCCCTCTCTTTAGGACTAAGCTGACAAGTGCAGCAGAGAAGGAGTCGATCGCCATGTTTGTACGAAACCTCCGACAGCGCCTGTTGGTGTGTCCAGTCAGGGGTTGTGTCATCATGGGGGTGGACCCTGGATTTAGACATGGCTGTAAGGTGGCAATTCTCTCCCCCACTAGTAAGTGACCACATTATGTACTGGACTCGTGTATACAGTCAGTATTCACTGTTATGTGCATATTTATGTTTCTATCACAGAATACTACTATAATTCTCATAACACCATATTCGTCTACAAGGTTGCATCTTCATTACACTCTTTTTGAAAGCTCTAGACATTGTAGTGCATAAAATGTCAGGAAGGCACCTGAAGTGTCTGAGAGGCTGCACCATCAGGTTAGATAATGTGTGTTGACAGCAGACACAGGTTTATCTTGTGCTATTGCATTCATCTAAAATGGTTAATATAAAGTAGAGCTCATGAGCTTCAGATATGTTACTCGAACGGATATTGTCACAGACCCTCCTAATTACTGTTGGATTCACACATGTACATAATTGGTATTTGATAAATACATTTCATACATTCAATTAACAGAAACACTGACTGGTATGTTTTTAAGTAGAGGACCACTGTATTTCACCACCAGCATTTATCTGTAATTGTAGTGAGAATTCAAGTATTATCTATGCAATCACATGCAAATTCATGGCTCTCTTTCTTATGTCTTTCCCCTCTGAATCTTACAGCAAACCCACACACATGCTTTATTCACTATGCTATTGTTGATTCACACCTAGTACAGAAATATTGAAGACTCAGATCCCTCTTCATTATATTATATGGACTAGAGATGGGACTTGTTTTTTCCACGAACGTGTGTACACATGTCAGACCCTAGATGCCAGTCTGCATTACCCTGGTAGATGGATTATGTGTGTGCATGCATATAGTATTTGTGTTTTTGTGTTTCGGGCATTGCTGCCTCATTAGACACCATACAGTTGAGAGATATTGGCTGATGGTTTATAGCTTTGTCTGTTGAACTCCCTCTTGCCATCATGATACTTTATCAGCATCATTGTATTTTCTCTCTCCCTCTTTTTGTCTTCATCTCTCTGCTCATAGGCCAGATTCTCCATACTGATGTTGTGTACCTGCACAGTTCTGGCCAGCAAAGAGAAGCAGACAAACTGTGCAACCTTATGATCAAATACAGGTACTGCTGCGTGTGTCTAAATAATAACATTTTAAATGTACTGTTTCAGTTGAGTTAAATACAATGTCAGAAAATGTTGCATCAGTGGATGGTGTTTGTGTCCTGTTTGCAGCAGTGCTAAAGTGCTCAAATATAATCTTGTCTGTGTTCTGATTCATTGAATTAAAACAGGGAAATTGACTTGTGAACTCAACCTCATTTTATGGTCTATTTCCTAATCCTGATTGTCCTTCTCCTCTTCCTCTTGTCCATACTAGCTGTACCAGGGTTGTCATTGGCAACGGGACAGCATGTCGTGAGACTGAGTCCTTCTTCACTGACCTCATCTCTAGGCGCTATTGTCACCCCCTGGACGTGTCCTACTGGTAAGGTCTTTCATCCAGTACATGCTAGAGCAGGCCCCAGTTACCCATCCTTGAATAAAAATTAGCTGTTATTGAAAATGGATGGATGAATGGATAAACCCACCTGTCACAGGTCAGGAGTTATGTTGAATTAGAAATGATGGTCTGTGTAAAGAAATGGAGAAAGTTCAATGTGTGAAGGGAAAACGAGGGTGAATAAAAGGGTTTAGCCAAAAAATGTAAAAGAGTAAAGGACAGAGGAGTAAAATGTGTGGGAACAAGAGAGTGGGATACAGATGGAGAGAAAGACAAATTGGAATGTGTCCCTCAAGCGAATATTGTCTATTAAAGCCATCTGGACTTTGTTTCACTTCGGTCCAATTAAAGAGACGTTTTGCGGTCCACGTTGTGTCTGTAACTAGGCCCAGTCCACACTTCAGAATACAACAGCACTGAACTTCAGTCCAAGCATAATAACCACTGGCCTCTCCTTGCTCCGTTTCTTTCTCTCTCTGCTGAGTTCCATGTGTGTTTGTTGACTTGAGGTTCGCATTGGGACCACAGCCTAGAATGATTCTGAGCTGTGTGTGAATGTGTTTGTGTGTGTCTGCATATGAAGGTTTTCTCAGTATCTTTGAGTTCATACACACATGCACACTTCAGAGGTCATACCTTTGGTGTAATAGTCACATTTTTTCTCTAAAGTTCAATTTTCTGTCTATTTGCAAGAAAAAAAATGGTCAAAGTGGGGCGTTTATTAAGTTAACTTTCACTTGATTATTTTCATGATAGACATTTTTTCCCTTTGAACAGACTTGAGCACCTCCAGAGCTGCAAAATTTCACATATTGATATAGTGTGTCTCTTGTTCATTCCTTTACTGGAGCTAATGGCATTCGTGCTTTTCAGAACACGTAAGAATGTTTGACTTCTGTTTGATGTGGTGCTGGCTGAATGTCCTATATCACCTGATATGATTAGCTATATTTTTGCAGCACATAACACATGTGTAAATGGTCTGCTTTTGCCTTAATATGGTTTGTAGAATAAAGGCTTTTGCAAGTGCATGAACTTTGGAAAAGCAGAGATTTTATTTTGACGTTAGCCATAGAAGTATGGTTGTTGTTCTCTAGATGATATCAACTGGAGTCGTCTGGTCTTATGCCTCACTTTGATTTCTTTGGACATTGGGTGATGTAGGCTCAGAAACATAGATGTCCAAGCGGACTCTGTGTGTGTGTCTGTATTAAAATGAACACATAGACTTCTTGCTGCGTGTTTCTCTTCTCTGTCCTCCCCCTCTTACCATTTTCATCTTTATTCCCATCTTCACTCCCCTTTTCTATTCTTTCCTTCCTTCCTTGCCACTGTCTTCGATTCCATCATCTGTCCTCTTCAGACATGTTCAAAGCCTTCACCAAAGCCTGATCAACTAAATGTGCATTTGAAATGACATGCAAAATCCAGTGCTGGTGTTTCATTTAACTACTCCCAGTCGTACCTCTGGGGTGGAGTTTTTCCCGGCATATGTTTTTGAACTCTGGAGTATGGGCCTACTTTTCACATTAGTATCACATACACTGTGGGATTAATGTGATACCTGGGTGGGATTAACCTCAAATTTCTCAGCACAAATGAGATTTTAGCCATTGTAAGGCGATAGAGCTTAAGTAGCTAAGATACAAATATCACTAGTGCATATTTTTTGTCACTATGTGGTGAAAAGCATATATAAATTTATCATTCGGTCCTTTGTTGCCCACATTAATGATCAGTAATTGTTTAATTGTTTAAAGTTAATGAAATATAAAATTCCTGTTTTTCTTTTTAAAAGTGACATTGGCTTTTTTGCTGCACAAATGTATTTAGAAAATTAGATATTAGAATCATTAATGGTTCAATGTGTAACATTTAGGAAGATCTTCTGGCAGAAATGGACTTATTATATTCATATGTATGTATTCGTTAGGGGGGTAACCACTTGAAAATAGGAATTGTTGTGTTTTTGTGACCTTAGAATGAGCAGTTTTTAAATCTACAGACGTTGCAGGTTTGTCAGACATTGCTAATTTAGCAGCAGAGTAGACATCTGCCACTCTTACTACATCCTTAATAGAGGCACAGAATCATTATGCCCTCCAAAGCTGGTGTTGTTTACTTGACACATTGTGTGTTCATTTTCTTTTTTTTTTTAAACTTCTTAAAGATATCTGGCTGAATGTTGATCTCTAATGAGCTAATTTTGACCAAAATATCCTTTGAAAGATGATGATGGGAGGTCAGGGAAAGATGACAGGCTTCAAGGAGTGACGGTTGTTGCTAACTATGAGGGTCTTACTCCCCTGCTGACTGACCCATAGCTGACCCTGACCTGCCATTAGGGAAACCTCATTACCACAGCAACAAGGATGATGGCAATGACGCAGAATAGTTATGTAGCATCAGGAACAGCAAGGGGTCTTAGTGCTTGCTGTGAATGTCCCCAGTATAATTAACTGACCCAGTTTCTGGTATACTTTGTGCGTTTCTATATGTGCGAGCATTTGTCGACTGACCTTATTCTCAAGTAGGTTCAAACAGGTTTGATCGACAGGTGTAGACAGCCTTTCAGGCAGGCCATGCATAGGAAGCTGGCTCAGTTATGGTGGTGGAAAACCACCAGCACACAGACAAATTAGTCCAGACCTGAATACTGTCCTGTCTGTTTCTATGTATTTACAAAGTCACTGACTCTTTCCATTTTTACAGCACCTTACCTTCAGTTGCTGTCTTTTTGACATCCTCAGCTACTAAGAGCAGTTGTGCGTCTGTGGAAAAAGGCATTCTGGCTCAAAAGTAAATATCCACACAAGTGTGTATGTGTGTGTGTGTGTGTGTGTGAGAGAGAAATAGAGAGTAAGATCAAGGGAGGGATTGTATTTTGTCTTCATTGCATTATTTGGCCAGACTGGAGTCTTTAACGTCATTACCTTGTTAGGTAGGATCAGCCATTACAATGTGAAGATGCCAGTGTTGAAAATTTTATTTTTGGCAGAAGTACTCTGGAAGGTAGAACTCCTCTCCTCTCTTCTCCTCTCCTCTCCCCTCCTCTCCTCTCCTGTCCTCCCCTCTCTGCTCCTCTCCTCTCCTATTCTCTCCTCTCCTCTCCTCTCCTCTCTGCCTTGACAGTGCAGTAGTTCATTAAAGACCTCAGCCTCATTTGCACCATCTGCTTCCTGTCTCCCTGTGAGCCTTCATTGTGTTACCACCCCCACCCTTCTCCACCCTTTCTTCTCCATCCTCCCGTCTCTCTCTCTCTGTCCTTCTGCCTCAGTGCTCAGCTGGAATGACAGCCAGAAATGGCAGCCTGCGGGACATCCTTACTTGTATTTTTACTGTGTGTGTGTGTGTTTGTGTGCAGTTTTGAGTGCCTCAGTCCCGTTTGAGTAGACTCATCATGCTCACTGAGTCACATCTTCCACAATTTTTTAAGTAGTGTGGCCTTTTCTAAAGACAGTCAAACAAGGGCACACATTTGTGTATATTTGGGATGTCTAAATAGCGTAATTTATGTGGAGGAATAGGTGTGAATCAAAGGCCAGCCAGTGTGTGTCCAGCTGAATAATGTATCCAAATCTCTGTCCACATCTGTATAAATACAATATATGTTGCAGATGGTGATCCAATTACTCAAATCATTTTGTTTTGGGAACAAAACAGCAAAATTGTTAATTATTTAGTATGTATTTACAGATTTTGTTTTGTGGATTATTAAATAATATTTTCCTCAAACATTGAATCGTAATAATAAAACTAATGAAAAGTACAAAAGTATATAATGAACACCTAACATAGGTCATTTTCAGGAAAATAAAAAGAGAATATAACGACCTATAATACATGCATTTTTACATTTAGCTGGGAGAGTATAACCAGCATAACCAAGTGTGACAGCTTTTCAGCTGGATCAGATGTAATGGGATTTATCTTCCTTCACTGTTATCTTTGCTAAGTGAGGAATAAATCACCAGGTTCGACTCTTCACCCCCCATTAGATTTACAACAAAGTAACCGTACATGATTAGGCTTGAACAATGCCTCTATGAATGACCAGAATCCTGCAGGACATTATACAGCATGAGGTATCATTTAGTTGACAAGGTTTGTCTGTGCCTGTGATGGCCCCCACTGAATGCACATTAGGTTATTTGTCATACAGCTGTGTCCCAGTAATTTAAAGACCTCCTGCTGGATGTCAGTTTATGGCATATTGGTTCAGAAAACAAACAAACTGACTTATGTACCGGTATATTGTTTTGTAGGTTGTAGCTGACTTCAGTGTGTGTGTGTGTGTGTGTGTGTGTGTGTGTGTGTGTGTGTGTGTGTGTGTGTGTGTGTGTGTGTGTGTGTGTGTGTGTGTGTGTGTGTGTGTGTGTGTGTGTGTGTGTGTGTGTGTGTGTGTGTGTGTGTGTGTGTGTGTGTGTGTGTGTGTGTGTGAGAGATTAACACCTGCTCATGGCTAGTACACGGCCCTGTGTGTCTGTCTGTCTGTCTCCCCCCCTCTCTCTATCTCTATTTCTCTATCTCTCTTGCTGGCTCCTTGACAGACCAGTGCAGCATGCCCTTGTTTGTCATTGTGCTTTAGCACTGACCGGTAGAGCATGCAGACTTTGTCAAACCTCATAAGAGTGCTCAGCACCGGCCAGACAGATGTCTGTGCGGGAGTGTGTGTGTGGTTTGCAGTATTTTACTTGGTGAAGCGCGGTGGTCACAAACACACACACACACCACTGTGAGTCCTGGTCTATCAGCAGTCAAGATGTAACTCTTGTACTTTACAAATTGTAGCAGCACACAAATATCAACCGGTCATTGGCTCCCATTTCTTTATTGGAATCTTCACAAATCACCCTAAAGATAAATATTCCTGAAATGGGTTGGGTTCAATTAAATCTGTGGTTAACAGAACCTTTCTGAATTTAAACAAACTGTACTGCTGTTGTCAACCTCTGGCAACTACAGTACTTAACTACGCAAACCCG